TAATCCCAGCATTGGGAGGCACAGATAGGCGCATCACAAGTTTGAGCCCAGTCTGAGCAAAGTAGGACTTAGCAAGGCTCTGTCTCAAATTATTTTCTTTAGCTACAGATGTAGCTCAGCGGCACAGCACCTGCTGGCAAGCTCAAGGCCCTGAGTTTGATTCCCAGCACCAAAAAGAAAAAAGTTTTTTTTTTTTTTTTAAAAAGAGGACTGGGGATGAGCTCAGTGTAAAGGACCTGGATTCAATTCCTCATACTGGAAAAACAATGATAATGTCTGATTTGGGGGATACATGTGATTCTAGATGTGGGACAGGAGATGTACAAGATGATCCTGGAAGACTTCATCAGACTAGCTCTGAAATGGCACTAGGATTTTGTTAAGATTCTGGAGACCAGAATCCCACTGACTTTTTGGGATAGTTTAAATTTCAGTAATAAGAATAATTACAAGTTGAAACCCACTAATATGTTTGAACTCATGAATTCATAATGTTATTAAAAACCAGAATTGACCACTTTAGAATGATGAAAGGGAACTAATTCATGTAATCTCAAAAACCGAGAAGGCATTAATCTTGCCTTCTGTGTGGACATGACCATTGGGTAATGGCACATGAGGGAAAGCAGTTTAATATTAAAGCCTGCCAACTAATAACTGAAAAATGATACAGTATCACCCATTTTATATTCTCCATTGAATTAATACAAGAAGTAAGCATCAATGGCTAACAGCATGATAAAAACAGAAATAATTAGATGTTATCCTAGCAATAACTAGAAACATAGAAGTAATTAGACATGCTTCTTAATGGAAGAAACCAAGGCTTCTTATGGTCTTGTGACAGGAAGTGAATCTTGAATCTGGATCTGGCTCTGAATCCAGCTTCCAGGGAATAAGACAGAGAACCACATGGTGAGCATGGAAATCAGCAAAATCCAGACTGGGAGAAGTTCTGTGGGTCCAAATGTCTGGCCTCTTCAACAGATAACAGTGCAAGGGAAAGAAAGACTGGAGAAAGATGTCTTTTATTTTTTCAGTTGAGACAGTATCATTAAAAACAAAAGCAGTAGTCAGAACTGAGTTGTTACCTAATTACGTTTTACTAGTATCCATACTGTTGAGGTTATGTTGTCCTTGTGGTGAAGATACACACATCTTTCCCCAGTTTTACATTCAGTGACAGCATGGTAGTTTGAAACTGGCCATGCCGTCAGTATGTAAACCAAATCGAGGGTTGATTATTTTGTTGATTTGTCTAGACTTGAGAAAATGATGGAAAAAGTATTAATGCAGATAAGAATTAAAAATATGTCTGTAAGCATTACACTGTAACACAAAAAATGAGGAAATATTCTTCCAGTGCAGAAACTATGATCTGATTCAGTAAGAAACTCAAGATACATCATTGGCAAATGAGTGAAGATCTGCCATACGTGTTGATCATTCTTTTTTGTCATGTTAATGAATGAAAATATCAACCATCCATCCCAGATTGCATTCATTAATCAACTGTAGTCAGAAGGTAGCTGTAGATAACAAGAATTTGTGGAAGAATCAACAAAAAGCCAGAATAAATGCTTATATGGAAATTCCAATATAGTATTATATATTTACTATTGGTAAAATTCAGTCTTATGTGTGTATGTATTTTGTGCCAGTTATTAAAAACTTAGCACATGCCTGGACACATTAAGTGTGTAGTAAATGTTCTTATTGTTAGCACAGCAGTAACAGGACTGGGAGAGAATGATGTTCATAAAGACTAGAAAGAATGACAGGAAACTAAACTGATCAAGATGACTTAAATTTTAAAGCATCTTAGAGTAAATTACATGTGACAAGAAAGTCCACAAATAATCACTGAGCTGAAAAGTGGAAGAACATGTGTAATAAGGCAGAAGTGCGCTGGTGGCAGCAATATATAGGAATAGTCTTTACAATAAAAGCTGCTTGGACCCAATGTTTTGGTCTCAGGTATCTGTGATACTCAAGAGTATTTAAAAACTAGAACAAACCTTCTGTTCATAAGCTAAATATTCTACAGATGTTGCAAAGACTTCGGAAAGGGATTTGTGGAGCTCAGCGTCAGAGCATTTGACTAGCGTGTGTGAGGCTCTGTGTTCAACCCCCAGCACTGCTGAAGCAACCACAACAAAAACAGAGTCTGTAGAATTCCTAATCTTAATGACAGTAGGTCATTTAGGCCCAAATGAGATAGGTGGGACAGAAAAGACAAGGTGGGTATCCGTGAATCAGGTGGTCATCTGCAAAGAAATACGTGAATCGGAGGGTTGAGGAGCATGTGAGGAAGTGAGGCCAAGAGGAAAGACATGGCACTTAGAATAATGATGGCTGCCACTCGCCTCTTTGGAAGACTGCGGTGGCATCTGTTTAATGTAGATTGTGTAACATACACAGAACCGATCTGTACAATTAAGGGCCTTTAACTATCTCCGCGTCTGTCTAAAGTAGAAGCCAGGAATCAAGTCTCACCTTGCTGGTGCTTGCAGAAGGGAGCGCCTATGTGGACAATGTTAATAAATAAACAGCTGGTGATTGTCTGGAAATGTTAGGGTACCTGGGAAGCAAGGATCCCATCATCCTGGAGTCCATAATAACAAAAGGAAATAGGGTACTTGGTTTAGTTAAGCATACCTGGAATCAGAGATAATTGTCTTGTGGCTTGAGAATTTAAAATGAATAGTCCACAGATTCTCCGGAAAGTATTCGAAAAGTGAAATTTCAACTGTACAATTAGTAAGAGGCCAAATGGGAAGAGAACAATGAAATAAACTTGTATGCTTGCATAGGAAACCCTCTGATGAACACAGATTCCAAAGGATGAACTTATGTGGATTGTATTATCAAAACAGTCATATGACAACACACATTTATAAAAGCATTAGGAAGGTTAAAGTTCATCGTGAACTTTAAAAATATGTGAGTCAACAACAACAACAAAATGCCTTGAAGCTGTATTCAGATCAAGAAGTACAAGGCCTACATCCCCAGAAAGCAGGATTATCTTCACACAGGATAGGATAAAATAATGCAGAGATGGGGTTATCAAGCCAAGAAAAGTCATGGAAAGGCCAGAAATTTAAAACTGAGTCCATCTCCAGGACCAGCATTTGGAGATGGAATCCCAGCGTTTGGAGATGGAATCCCAGAACACTGCAGTGTGATGATGCAAAAGTTTATTTTGACTCATAGTTTCAGAGATTTCAGTCCATGATCTATTGGCCCCATTACTTCTGGACATGTGCAAGGTAGAACATCATGGCGGGAGTGTGGTGAAGCAAAGTTGCTCACCTTGTGGTAGCCAGGAAGTGAGAGAACACAAGTAACGGGGGTACCCAGTCTCCTTTGAAGCCACTCCCTCGAGATGTAAGTACTCCCACCAGGCCTCACCTCTCAAAAGCTTTTACCACCCACAATAGCACCAAGCCGGGGAACAATCCTTTAACACGTGGGCCTTTGGAGACGACGTATCCAGACCACAGCTCCAACTCACCCCTTCTGACATCGGTGGTGTTTTCATTATTGTCTTTTTATGCCTCAGAAAACACCATCTTAAAACTAAATCTCTTTTGTTGGTAGCTGGTAGCCGGGGACACAATAGTAAAATTAGAAACACTGAAACCCATTTGAAGTGTAAGGAATCAAAATTTTCAGAGGTATATTTCCTTATTCTTTCAGAACAGATAACTGGGAAGAAAAATTCTCCATGTGAAAAAAAAATTTGTTCTGAAGCTTATCTCAAACAACTTGCCTGTTTTCAAAAATTCAGTTTCTGGACTGGGGATGTAGCTCAGTGGCTCTGTGCCTGCCTCACAAGCGCAAGGTCCTGAGTTCAATCCCTGGTACCCCCCCAAAAAATTCAGTTTCCAAAAATCCTGATAGGCAGGGTATCTATTAAAATTCTTGTCTCAGTCATCTTTCAGTGAATTTCTATCTGGGTTTTGGTGATCAGAGCTACACGTGACGTTTATTAACACATTCCATAGCGATATAGAACTTTCAATGACTTTGTCCTATGTTGTTTTGGGTTAGGATAACCAAAACAGAGCCAGCAACTCAGTTTAAAATGACTGCATCTTATCTAACACTCAGACGGTAAGGAGAGAAACATCTTTCATTGCATGAAGTTGTTGGCCAGGAGAACGCCCCATCTCCCTTCGTCGCTCCTAAATGCAGTGATCTGCCTGCACGGTTTTCTAGAGTCACGCCTGTCATCAGGGACAGGCACATGGTCTCCTCCAAGTTGCCAAGTCTGCTGGAAACTTTAGCAGAACTATTTTATTAGCTCAACTCCTTAAAGTTTTTCTCTTAGAGAATGGTTATATTTTATTGAGAATAATTGTGCTGCCAGGTAATGGAAAATAAACATTAAACACTGATACTATCATTCCCTTGACTTGTCTAATTTTCCTGGTTCATAATGCATTGTGGCTAGACTGACAAAATCAAGCTACGATGGTAAATTACCTGTCAGATTGATTTGTCTGTGCAGTTCCTTATCTTTGGTGCAAATACCCTGAGATGGTTTTGTGTGTGTGTGTGTGTGTGTGTGTGTGTATGTGTGTGTGTGTGCATGCGCGAATTACTTAGAATTTAGGATTTGGAAATGCCTCTTTGCCAAAGTAAACATCGTATGTATATAGTCAATATAAAATAGCTAATCATGCATAACCTAGTCAGATGTTCAGAAAATAATCAATTTTTTATGTTTTGATGTTTTCTTACTGATAATAGTTAATTTTAGAGCCCCCCAAAATTATAAAAGCTTCAAATTATCACTGTTCCTTTTTATTACCCCAAAAAATTCTAAGGACAAAGCTGCCTGGATCTCTAGGCAAGGCACTAAACCAGAGTTTTTTCCTGTTCCATTGAAATTGAAAACCATTTTGTCAAAAATAAACGAGGGCCTTCTGAAGAGCAAGACAGAAACTATAAACCAACTCCATAGTAACTGAAGTCAAATGCTACATAAAAACTTTGGAGACAGTACTTTTTGATGTGGTGACACAAAAATTTAAAAGCTGGTTTATGTCTTAAGGTTGTATGTCAGCTTTCTGTTGCTGTAACAAAATATACAAGACCATCGATTTATACAGAGGAAAGGTTTATTTTAGGTCTCAGTCTTGGAAGTTTCAGTCCACGATCAGGCAGATTCATTGCTCTTGGGCCTGTGGTAAGGCAGCGTATGGTGTGGGGAGTCTGGGAGAGCAGTAGGTTTACCTCATGGTCAGATGCAGAGAGCGAGGGGAAGAAGAATCAGGTCTGACAGTCCCTTCAAGGGCACAGCTCCAGCGACCTAACTTTTACAAGGCGCCACCTCTTCAGGGCTCCACCACCTCCTGTGGTGCCATCCCGGGGACATGGGGCCTGCATAATTGGGGACACTCCACAGCAAACCTTGGCATGTCACAGACCACTTCAAGAGCTTTGCTAGTTGAGCAAGAGCTCTGGTTAACACCAGCCTCTCCTTGCCTACCTTTGCACACCCAAGGTCTGCTCGTGCTGTGCCCAGGAGTGGGCGGCAAGAGCGAGCCCTTCAGGAGCGAGGCGGACTGGGCCAGAGCCGCGGGCGCTGAGGTCCCAGGAGAACTGGGAGGCCATGGGGCTCGGGATGTGCCGCGAGGATGTGAGAATCCTGCTGGGGACCCCTGTAAGGAAGCCTTCATCTGGGAAGCGGCACACTGAAAAGACGGGAATTTGACAGGTGTGGACTTGAGAGGTCTCCGGCCCCGGCAGTGTGCCCTCAGAGGGGTCGCAGGGCCTCGGGCTCTCTCTGCTCCAGCCTGAGATGTGACTGGTGCCCTAACCCTTGTTCCTGCCAGGGTGTGACAGGATCTGCCCTCACCAGCCAAGGCGCCGCTCAATCTTGGCCTTTGAGTCTCCCAAACTGGGAGCTAACAAAACTTTTATTTTATAAAGCGAGTTATTGTGCCAGTAACACAAAGGGAGTGATGCAGTGTTCTTTGTAGAAATGGCTTTCCCTGCCAGACCTAGGCTCCTCCAAACTGCCTTGTTACAGGCAGAGCTGTGGTCTGGTGAGCTCTGAACCCGCGCAGCGGATTTGGGAAAGAAGAGGGCCTGTGACGTCCCCGCCTTGACTGTTAGCCAGCTGGGCAGCCATCTGCACACGGCTCCTCTGAGAAGCGGGGTGAAGCGGGGCTCCCTGGAGGAGGAGGAGCCACAGGCAGTTAAGGGTGTGGGGTTGCTGGGATCACACAGTGCTATGTGCAGATCCCACATTTCTAACTGGAACTGAAGCAGATTTCTGAAAATTTTAGGACTTCAATTTCTTTGTATGTAGAATGCAGAAAAAAAACACCCTCCTGGTTTTTAAAATAAGGAGTAAGCGAGATAATGTAAGGGGAGCACTTTGCAGAGAGCCTGGTTTGTAGTAAATACCCAGTAAGGGTTAGGCACCTCGCGTAATTTGCTATCAGTCTAGCTACACTCTTACAATAAAATTCCTTACGTATTCATGTCCTGAATTTCATTTGACCCTTAGAAGAACCCTAGGCGGTGGTGGAGTCGATCTTACTGTATCTTTATACGGTAGGGACAGCTGGACTGCAGAAAGCCCGGTGCCAGGCAGAGGGCACCAGGAAGGTGTCGAGTTGGGCTGCACCCTAGCACTTATCTATTGAGACCTAATGTTGAGCAGTCTGTGTTCGATCCTGGAATTTAGGATGAATGTTAACAGATGTATTTCCAGCTATTGGGGGTTATGGTCTAGGGAAGAGTAGAGATCAAATCGAACAGCCCAGCTTATAAATGCATAGTTCCAACCTGATTCAAACCCTCTGAAAGCAAGGAACACAGGTGACTCGGGGTGTGCTTACAAAGGGCCCTGGTTAAGACCTGAGGTCAGAGCAAGCTCCCCTGAGGAAGGGGCCCGGCGCAGAGGTCAGAGGCTGCGTCGAGGATGAGGGCTGGGGTCGGGAACCAGAGCCCACAGGAAGGCCGGGGGCAGCAGACACGGCTGCTTCTGGAAATGGGGAAGCCGGTAAGGGTGCAGGCCCACAAGCGCAGCGAGGAGGCAGAGTGGTGGAGGGTGACAGTAGATCCCTGTAGCTGGCATTTCTTCACCCTGTGCTTGCCAAGTGCGCTGTGCTAGTCTGAGGCCGCCTCACACCCAGTTCTTAGCTGGAGCTTCCCTGTGAAGCTAGGGTGCAAACCCATCACAAGGCCCGGGGCTGGGCAGGTGTCTGTCCTTTTCCTTCTCCCCTCCCCGTTGAGCTGCCCAGTCTTCCCCGTGGCCTGGGGTGTATGCCTGTGGGGAGAGCAGCTGCATGCTGATTCACCCGGCCCTGGGAGTGTTGTCCTCGGAGGGCAGGGTCTGCGGTTAGGGTCTCCGGTGGCGGCTGGGCTCCAGGTCACGGTCTCTGTTTCCTCACTGTGTGCTTTTTGCCCAACCAGCCACAAACTGAGCCTCCACAACTGTGAGCAAGACAACCTTTTCCTCCTGTAAGTTAATTGCTTCAGGTGTTTGTTATGGGTAAAGGCAGTTGACTCACACACTCCTCAGACCTGGTCCTTCCTGCCCTGGTGTCCTGCGTGTGCCCCTGTGACACACAGGCAGTGTGATGGCTCAGACAGTGAGTACGGTGTCTCCCAGGGGCTCAGCAGCACGTGGTCCGCGTCTCTGCCCAGCACAGTGCACGCCTCCCGCCTCTGCTGAGTGAACCCCTTCCGTGGTGCTTTTATGCTCAGCCCTTAGGGGGCTTGTGACCGTGGCTTCCACGGGACTTAGTGCAGAAGCAGCCTGGACCAAGGCTTGGAGCTCAGCTGGTCCTGCGGGGCATTTGCCAGGGGCCTGCCCTGGCGCCTACAGATGGGGCAGAGGATGAGCGGGGTGCCCGGAACCTGGTGAGCCATGGCAGGCTGTAGCCACTGTGAAAAGCGGCCCAGGCTGCTGACTCTGGGCTGGGCGTTATCTACACTGTGAGCATCAGGGGCTTGTGCAGTCTTTCCACGGGCAACTCTGAAAATAACAGTGTTTTTCTTTATTCCCTTTAATCCCCTTTTAAAAACTGTGTGGAGTGCTCGTGCTCACTTCGGCAGCACATATACTAAAAATTGTGTGGAAATGTATACAGTGCAACCCTGAGCATTTTAGCCACCTGTAAGTGTGCGATTCAGTGATCAGTAGACTCACATGTATGTGTATCTTTCCCATCCATTTAGAAAAGATCTGTATTTATGTCCAGACAGAGTTTGTCTTTCTAAATACCAAGAAGATTTTTATCTTAAGGAAGCAGACTGCTCCCAGTGCGTGAGATTTTATGAATTCTCACAGTTTACAAATACAGGAGAGGAACCCACCGAGGGCAGGTGCTGGGGGTTGAGCGGCTGTGTGAGCCAGACCCGGAGCGCCTCTGCCCCGGCACGGTCTCTCCTCCCTGGCCCTCCGTTCTCCCCTGGTTTCCGCAGTCCTGGGAGCAGGACCATGGGTGACTGCTGAGGCAGAGCCTCCAGGCCACGCCTGCAGGACTGAAGCTGCCCAGTGAACAACTGTGATGAATCTCTGCTCTTGTCTGCTGTAGGTGATGGGGGGCCGAGGCAAAATGAGAGCTGAAGCTGAAGGCTTTCTTTTCTTCACCACACATCATCGTTTTCAGCTTTGAGGCACGAGGTCTATTTTAGAGAGCAAGTAACATTTCACAAACTTTGCAGCCGCAAAGCAGAAACTCAACTGGTCACTTGCGCCGCTGGGCTCTGGGCTGGACACCAAGAGGCGCAGCAGGTTCTGCTTTCGGTCTTGGCATGGCCTCTGGGCAAGTTGGTGGCTTCTCCGAAACTCAGACCCTTCCCTCATTGGCACCTGGAAGGAGGGGACTTGACGCTGGTGAGCTTCTCCTTCCCCGGCGTGGCTGGACGGTCGGTCCTACAGCTGCCCCGCTCTGCACGGCTGTGGGACCTGAGAACGGGATGAGAGGGAGGGCGAGAGGTGTCACCTGCGCCCCACTTCCAGACGACCCCGTGGTGGCTCTCAGGAGGAGAGCCGCATTCCGGGGGCTGCAGGGACGGCGGGGGTGACTCCGCGCGCACGGGGGCAGCCAAGCCCTTCCTGAGGCAGCTTTCTCAGCCAGGCATCCTGGGGGTCCGGAGGGAGTCCTGGCCCACACCTGACGCTCCGAGCCTTGTTCTCAGTGTTCTCTAGGGGGAGGGCCACGGACCCCTTTCTTCCTTCTTTTCCTGTCCTCTTCACCCAGGCCGAGAGCGCGTTTGCATCCCAGGCTTGCAGGAGCTTTCCCGAGCTGTGTGCCTGTTGTTGATTTACGGGGGCCTGCCTCCCCGTGTGCGCCTGGCTGCATAACTTAACGGGATCTGTCACCTCAATAGGCCGCCGAGCAGCTGCGTGCGGGAGCAGCTGCCTGCTCTGCCTTTGTTTGGTCTCAGCGCCCTCTTATCCAACCGCCGGGGGCCTGTCTCCTCCCAGCCCTGATTCGTGCTGCCTGTCCCCTGCCCACCGAGTGCACTGGGTGGCCCAGGAATACACAGTTCTTGCACAGTTTATGATAGCGATGGTGAGCAGAGGTCGTTCATAAACAGTGAGTCGTGGGTGGCAGCGTTAGCTCCTAAAAATCATAATCAACTCTCCAGGTGGCCTCTTAAATTTGCGTGGGGCTTTCCTGCTCATCCATAAAATAGGCTGTGTTCGCCAGAGGCGTCGGTGTTGGCAGGAGTATAGAGCTCGTGTTCGGCCTTTGAGGCCTCCAACTGGAGCACGATCCAACCCGGGGCCCACGAGGATCTGGTTCCCAACATGCACGTGCACACACGCACACGCACTCACACGTGGGCGCTCGTGCGCAGCATGCTCCAGCACGCGCACCTGGCGCAGGGGACTTCACTCTGGGCGCAGAGGGAGCTGGCGCTTTGGCCACAGCGGGCTCCTTGAAGACTCGGGGTTCAGAAAAGCCCCTGTGCGGGCTCCATCTCTCCTCTCCTGGAAGCACCCCCTTTCCCTTCAAATCTCAGCGACCTCTGTCATGTCCTCTACCAAATCTTGGAGCAGATCTGATATCATTTGCTCAGGCCTGGGGTGTGGCGTGAACTCTCATGGCAGGTGAGTAGGTGCTCGGAAGCCCTGCCACCTGTACCCCTGTTGCCATTGGCTTCAGGTCCCTGGCAGCTGCCTGTGGCCCGGGCCTGTCTGTCCCTTTGACTGTCGATGTTAGAGAGCACCTGGGCCAGGGTTCACGACCCTCCCTAAAGTCACCCGAAAACCGGCCGCAACGCCAGCAGGGCTTCCTTGAGAAGACAGATTTTGTCAGCAATACACAGGGTTCAGTGGGTCCCAGCTTTTCCATTTCCTGGGCATGAGGTCTCAGGCAAATCATTATTTAACCTCTCCAAGCCTCAGTTTCCCCATCTATAAAAATCAGAAAGGAACCTACTCCAGAGAGGCTGCCAATGGGATTGTAAGAGCGCCTGTGTGTGAAGGGCTGTCTTGTTTCACACTCAATGTGTGGCAGCTAAAATGCGTGATACTATGGTTCTATTATCTCTTTGGCCCAAGGCCTTGATCTAGGAAGGGGAGATGTCTGATGGTCACATCTGCCAAAAGAACCCAGCGCTGCTCTCCACGCAGGGCCAGCCAAAGCCTCACTTTTCTGTTTAGCGTGGGAAGAATGACACACTCCTCCTGATGCAAGAATTTGGCCCAGACCTGCTGGCCTGTGAAGCGGTCAGCACTGAAGTCTCTGAGCACCTTCTGGGAGGGGCCGGGCTGGAACACAGGGCGCTGTGTAAGACCAGGCTGGCAGAAGGTCTGACCCAGGTCACAGCTGGGAGCTGGGAGCTTTACCCGGCACATATTTCCCATCCCCTTCTCCCTGGCACCCAGACCCAGGTACTTTCCAGACAGCCATGGTTCACCTGGGCTGTTCCCAGGCACAGCCCTGACCCTAGGTCTCTCCCGTGAGCTCATCTCTGCAAATGTGTAAATGCAGATGGCCACGGGTATCATCCCTCTCTCTCTTCGAAGATGCTGTGTGTGTTAGCTTTCTGGTGCTGGGACAAAATACTTGAGAAAAACAACTTATTAGGAGAAAAAATTGTTTTGGCTCATAGTTTCTGAGGTTTCAGTCCATGGCCACTTGGCCCCATGGCCTGGGGCCTGTCGCAGCAGAGCATGTCATGGTGCAGAGCATAGCAGAAGAAACTGCTCACCTCATAGCGCCTGGCAAGGGAGAGAAAAAGAAGGAAGAAGGGCTGGGGCCCGGTACGTCCCTCAGGACACACCCCCAGTGCCTGACTTCCTCCAGACTCGGGCCCTGGGCAGCTGGCGAGGACGCAGAGCTGATGGCAACGAGAGTGAGGTGAGCAGGGCTCCCGGCACCGCCGCCTCCCAGCAATTTCACAAGCTGCGACCAAGGCCTGGGCCGTGGCCTTTGGGAGGCACTGCATGCACGTGCACCGCCCCAGCACGATGGGATGGGTATGGTCTGAGGGCGCCCCCAAGGCTTCTTGTGCTCTAAGCTGGTCTCCAGTGTGGCGATGCTGAGAAACGGCAGAGCCTTTACAAGGGGAGATCCAGTGGGAGGCAGTTAGGTGTTTGGGGATCGCTACCCTTGGAAGGGATCAATGCTTATACTGTCAAGTCCCAGTTAGCTCTCACAAGAATAGGTTTAAAAGAGCAAACCTGGCCCCTGAATCCTTCTGGCGTCCCATCTCACCAGGTGACTTCTCTGTACTTTCTCCAGCCGTTGTGATGCCAACTGCCACGAGGCCTCATCAGAGGCTAAACCAGTGGGGCTGCCTCATCTTAGACTTTCAGTCTCCAAGGTAAATTCACTTGTTTTCTTTATTAAAGTAACTAGTCTCGAGTCTCTCATTATATCAATAGAAGATGGACTAATACAGAGTGCTAGGTTGGTGTACGGTTTATATCTAGACGACCCTCAAGAGCCTCATGTGGTCAGAAGTGGGGGCTTTTGGAAGGTGATTGGATTATGGGGCTTAAAGTTGGCTAGCTGGGGGCGGTCAGAAGAGGCAGTCACGGGGGGCGTGACCAGGAAAGGTTTCTCTCCCTTCTTGGCTCCTCCCTTCTCTCTCTGTTTCCTTGCTGCCGGATTGGAGCAGCCTTCTCTACGCCGGGCCCTTCCACTATGCTGCTGACCAGGCAAAGAGTGAAACTTCTACAATGTAAGCTAAAATGGCCTCTCCTCCTTTGAGTTGGGTTAGGGTTAGGGATTTGTCCCAGTGAGGAGGAAGCGGCTGAGACAGCTGCACAGGTGATGATAGAGAAGAAATATTGTTAGACATTTTAATTTGTCTCCTGCCATTTATATGAATGAATATTGTTTGTGCATGTGTGTGTGTCTATACTTTTTGATTAAATAGAATTTCTTAAATATCTCATTTTTGAAACTGACTTTTCCCATTCAATATGTTTTCCCAACATTTTCAATAAATGTTTTCCCAAGTCCTTACTTAAAGTCTTCTATAACACATATAGTTTTAAAATTTTTCTGGTGCTAGGAATTAAATTTAGGGCCTTGCTTATGCTAAGCATGCACACTATCTGAGCTACGCCCCTAGTCCTGCAACACAATTTTTAATGACTGCGAAGTATTCCCTTGTGGTCCCCAAAGGATGGGAGAAGTATGGGAGATCCATGGAATGAGGGGGAAAACATACAACTTCATTTCCCATTTATTTTTGTACAAAAATAAGAAATAAATTAACCTTTACTGATATAATAATTCCTGGACTCAGCCTGGTACTGCAACCAGTTTTCGTGTATCTGGTATCTGGGGGGTCCTAGGGAAAGAGAGGGCTTGATAATGTTACCTGCATGGCTGTGTTTGCTTTTAGCAAGTTGCAATCTACTGCAGTTTCTGTGTGTTTCGTTAACAGAAATTCCAGGTTATAGACTTTTAACTAATAACCCTCACCAAACAACCAGCTGGCTTTGGAAGCTTCCCCCAAAGAAAACGCAGAGGATAAGAAGAGAACACAAAGATGCTGGAGTGGATTCTTCAGCTTCTAGTATGAACTAGTTGTAATTTTTGTTAGAAGTAAAAACAGTACAATCAGATCCGAAAAGAAGTCAGCCAAAACTATGTGAATGTTTTGAGAAGATTATGTGAGTCATAGCTATATAGCCATTTTGTTCATCATGACCTTAAACTATGTGTATATTGTACCTTGAGATATAAGAGAACAAGAATGTCACTGTAGGCAAGGCGATAAAATATGACCTATGGAGAATGTAAAGACACATCGCAGCATTTCCCCACCAAAGTTTAAAGTTTTGCAACATTTCAGCACTTACCCATTTTTACTAAACAAATAATAATAAATATTTAGCTGCTTAGAAGCCATATACAATGGTAAAACTGCCCACAATAACACATGGAAAAAATATGGGAATGATTTTTAAATGTAGTCTTTTTCTTTCATAAAATATCATCAAGATGCATGGAAAGCAATTGCTGAATATTTGAAGAAACACATATTAGAATACATAGTGCAACGTGGGAATTTTCCCATATAGTCAGATGAGAGTATATGTTTCCCACAGTATTCAGTTATTGCAGGTGCTAAATTCTGTTGTAAAAATGAAACACATAAGGTATGTTCTTGTAAGCCACTACAAAAGGACAATGAAAGTGTATTAGTTACTTTTCTCATCACTGAGACACAATACCTGGCACTCAACTTAAAGAAGGAGAGGTTTGTTTCAGTTCATATTTTCAGTCCATAGTCCGCTGGCTCCCTGGCAGGAAGGACATGGCAGAAGAGTGTGATGGGGGAAAGCTCCTCACAGCATGGCGGCCAGGAAGCAGAGAGAAGGGAAGAGCCTGGGAAGGAGATAGAGCCTTCCAGGTCACACCCCCGTGACCCACCTCCTTCAGCGTATAACTATGAGCCCATTAGTGGGCCAATCCACCACTGAGTATACCACCCTCATGAACTACTCACCTTCCAAACACGTCAGACTTTGGGGGAATAATCCAGATCTAAACCATAATAGGAAGGAGATATATTCTCAGTAATGAAGATGACTTCTAGAATGGTGGGTTAGTCAGCTTTTCATCACTATAAGGGGAACTTTTTTTTTTTTTGGTGCAGGGGATTGAACTTGGAACCTTGCACTTGTGAGACAGGCGCCTGAACCACTAAGCTAAATCCCTGGCTCTAGCTTTTCATTACTATAATGGGATACCTGAGATGATCAACTTACAAAGACAGAAGGTTTACTTTTGCTTAGGGTTTTGAGGGTGCCAGTCCATGATTGGTTGGCTCCATTGCTTCAGGCCTGTGGTGAGCTAGGACATCATGGCAGAAGTGCTGGGTGGAGCTCACATATGGCTCAGAGGCAAAAGAGCAGGGATGCCACAATCCCATTCAAGAGTGCACCCCAGTGGCCCAAAGACTTTCCACTACACCCTGCCTCTTAAAGTTTCCACCACCTCCAAGAAGTGCCACCCCAGGGACCAAGCCTTTCACACATAGTCTTTGGGGGTACATTTCAGAGCCAGACTATAACAAATAGCTTAAAAATGCAGACAGAAGTGTAGCCAGGGCATAGGCTTCAACTGCAATAAGAAGATACCTGTGCATCATAACAGAGCTGCCAGGGAGCCCAGAGTATCATGATTCAAATTACTAGTTTGCTGGCTGTGACTGTGGATGAGTTCCCTAAATGTATGAGTCCATTTTCTGTTACTATGACAAAATACCTGAGATTGACTGGTTTATAAAGTAAAGAGGTTTATCTTGGCTCATGGTTCTGGAGGTGCAGTCACATCTCAAGATGGGCTTCTTGCTGGCAGTGTCCTGAGGGGCACAGGGCATCACGTGGCAAGAGACAGGAAGCTGGGACATGTGCGTGTCCTCTGGCCTCTCTCTCTTCTTATAAAGCTACCAGGTCCAATCATAGTGACCTTGCCTATCTTAATCACCTCTCAGAGGCCCCACCCCTAAACAACACATGCCATTCACACATCCACATTCTTAATACCCTGGGACAGGGGTTAAATTTCAACTGCGGAGCCCTGGAGATGCTCACATCATATCTAGATCACAGCATGTAACTTCCCTGTCCCTCAGTTTCCTTGCCTATGAAATGGGGACAATAACTGTATCCACTTGAGGGACAGTTTGGAAAATTAAACTCATATGCTTGAAGTATTTAAATTGCAACAAGCATATATCAAGTGCTCAACAGATACAGTCGAATAATTTACACCACACTTGAAATACGTTTCTTAGCAAACTACCATGGTAAAGAATTGGAAGTTGGAAAGGTCAAGTTCTCCACTGAATATCAGTGATATGGTTCAGTTCATAAAATAGAGCTTTTAATATGTCATGAAATTTTTATAATATTTTTAAAGACAAAGAATGAGTGAAAAATTTTTATCTACAATAGGTTGGATATGTATGTTGTAGCAAATTATGCAAGATAGTAAATATAAAAGGAATTAGGAATTTTTGTGTCTATGTTACCTAACTCTCAAAATATAAAAACATCTGGAATCTGTCCCTCAAACTATAGTGATATTCAATAATAAATGATAAAATAATGCCTCTGAAAGAAGTATTGAGAGCAGTTTGGTTTCCAACTTGGTGATTTTATTGTTAGAAAAAGTATAGTTATAATATATATAAAAACTGTCATATTTGCTCAAATCAAAATGTGGAAACAGGATTTTCTTGTTAAAAGATCTGCCAATGAAAATGTTAGTGTTTTGGATGCATTTGTTTAAAATATAGAAAAAGTAAGACCTATGATTGATATCATAGAAATAGGATTTCACTTAGGCTAACTTTGATATACTTAGTATGTGAAAATGAAAATTAATTTCTTGTAGTAAATACTATATGGTCAATTATTGCTTTTATACTATTTTATCTGTGTCATCATAAAAGAATGTTTTCAATTATGGTAACTATCAAAACCTAGTATAAAAATACACTGAATCTTCAATTGTATCATAAAGTGTTGACCTAAAAGTTACACAAATAATAGAACATATCAAAAATTGCATTTCTCTATACCAAAATATTTTTGTAGTATAAATGAATAAAATAAATTTAAAACACTGTTTACAGTGACCATAATGTGTATTTGATCATGCACATAATATTTTGGCTCAATAGTACCCAGGTGCAATTTATAAAAATAAATATTTATCATTTTTTATTAGGGCATATACTCCAATATGAGTTTTGGTAGGCTTATGTCACAGTTGTCAAAGTGCAGGAAGCCATTTACTCCCCTATCCTTAATTACTTAGGTTGTTCCCCGCCTTGCCTTTTTAAAAACTTTATTTTTTTGGTACTGGGGGTCGAACTTGGGTCCTTGTGCTTGTGCAGTAGGTGGCGAAACCACTGAGCTAAATCCCCGGCCCCTTAAAAACTTTTTAAAATGATGTAGGAAGCATCTTATGTGTAAATCATTTCACTTACTTCCTAGGGGTAGATTCCTGGTCGTGAGAGTGTTTCCTTTTGCGTTTATTTACTCACGTACAGTTTTCCTGCAGAGAGACTGTGACAGCTGAAGTCTCCAGCAGGGGCCGTGAGGGCGCGTCCCCTTTTTCATCTGACTTCATCTGGTAGTTGGCCTGTCAAGGAGGAACAGTGAAACTGGGCCCACAGGGAAGACTGCGTTTAGGCATGAAGCCTGCCTGGCCACAGGCAAAGGCCACCGGGCAACCTATGCTTTGGGTCCTTTCTGGCAAGGACAGTTCCATGGGGCTCATGACCATGGCTCTCCACTTGGGTGGTGGCGGCTACAGGGTGGTGTGGGACACGGTCATGCCACTCCGGTAGGGTGGGAGGTCAGGGAAGGACCTGTGGTTCTGGAAGACTCTGGAATGATAAGTGTTTACACGCTGCAGTGTCGAAGGATCAAAAGCAAGTGGAAAGAAGCCTTCTCCTCCTGGGCCATGTGGAACGCATTTATCTCCACTGGAAACCTTGCAGGAGAACAAAGACAACTCCCCTTGCAGAATGCTTTCAGGTCCTGGATTGAGTTCAACTACTGCCTCTCTTGGCTTTTCCCCAAGAGAGCAGAGCAGAGCAGAGCCGAGCAGGAGCAGGAGCAGGAACAGGAGCAGGAGCAGGAACAGGAACAGGAGCAGGAGCAGGAGCAGGAGCAGGAGCAGGAGCAGGAGCAGGAGCAGGTGCAGGAGCAGGAGCAGGAGCAGAGCAGAGCAGAGCAGAGCTTCCCCCTTGAATCAGGAAAGCCAGATTTCCTAAGCAATGATGACCCTCAGTAACACGGTGACATTTTGTTTCCATTTGTTGTTACCTCTAAGTAGGCACATTTGATTTTTTTGTTTTTAATGACCTCTTTTTCTGTCTAGAGTTCCAGTCCATGGGAGCCCTGCTAAGTGACGGGCGGATCTGACACAGGGATTCAGACTTGGGTCTTGGAAGTGGAGATGCCCTGGTGGAAGGTGCTAACCTCCCAGAGGCATTGAGTTTGTACCCAGGTGCTTTTAGGGGGACCCCTATCTGGGAGAGCGAGGGGTTGCTGCCCCTCGAGTGACCCTTAACACTCCTTCCAGGTTTTGTCGTTCCAGATGAGGCCCTCCAGAAACACTTACAAGGCATCAGCCCAAATCGCAGGCACCCTGACTCACTCTTCAGGTGATCGAGGGTAAACCCTGCTTACTAAATATTAAATTCTCTGCCCAGGAGGCGTTTCTGCCCACTACTTTTTGAACATGCATGTGTGGCCATGAACTGAGCATGACCAGGAATGTGGCCGCCTCCTCCTGGAAGGGCAGCGTTTCCGTATGAATGTGCACGAGTTGCCCCAATGACAGCCCCTTGTTTTCTTTGTCCAGAGACGTACTGTTTGGAGAATTACCTCCCTCGCATCTTACTTGCCGCAAGATAGACCTTTCTTCCCTCTGTTCTCTCCTGGTGGCGCTTGTCAACTCACCAGGTGACAAACCTCTGCTCCCTAGGTCCCAGCACAAAGAGGCCCACTGGGAGTGGGGGGCGGTGACTTGGCCCCAGGGGCCTTTGGTGCTGCCCCTCCCCAGCTGCCACCGGACAGCCCTACGTTTGTGCAGGGTGGGGCCTTGAGGTCGGAAGTGGGGGTTATGGTATTGCGCGTCCACCTTTGTCTCCGGCCCATCCTGAGCTGGTGTCTAAGCAGCTGCACACCTGACTTCTTTCTTGTTGGGTCCTCCTAACCCCGCCCAATCCTGAAGGAGGATTTTGGGAAGGTGTTAAATCTGTTTGATCAGAGAGCAGTGAATGTCACTGTGGGATATGAAGGAAAAGTGGCTGTATTTGCTCTCCAGGAGCAAAGGACGCAGGAATGTTGTGCTCCTTCAGGGGCACTGTGGTCCACCTTTCCCCTCTCCCTGGAGCTTTCCCTACCTCTCTCCATGTCTTCTCTCTGCTCTTCTCCTCTCTTTTTTCCTCCTTCCCGTCCTCCCTCCCCTCCTCTCCCCTCCTTTTCTTTCTCCTTCTTAATCTTCTTCTCTTCCTCCTCCTTCTCCTTCATCTTCTTCTTTCTTCTCCTCCTTCCTCTTCTCCTTCCTCTTCTCTCCCCTCCTCTCCAGTATATATATATATATACATATATATATTCTAGTTCTTCCCATTCTTCCCTACATTTAACTAGGCAACCAGCAGTCATCTGCTTACCATTTGTTCATCCATCCATCTATACATACCTGCATGCGTGCATCCATCCATCCAGCAGACATAGAAATGGTTCCGTGGAGGTGGTTAGCTGTGGCTCAGAGGGGTTGGAGAAGTCTCTGCCTCTGACCTCCTCCCTGCAGGACCCTACAATTGGAGAGGACTTTGGTTAGAATCTAGTTCACAGCTTTGTAGGGCTAGAAACTCAATTTTACCCAGTCAGTCAGAGGTTCTGGGAGAACTGACTCATTTTCAATGAGGTTGTAAGAGACTTATTTGTAAAGCCGAAGTCCAAAAGTCAATTAAACCCCCAGCTAGCCTGGGTGGGAAAACCAGCACCGAAGTCCCCTCCTGGGGAAGAGTAAAGTGCAGAGAGGGGGATGTCTTCCCAAGACAACTGAATGGATTTCTCCTCCTCATGCCTGGAAGATTCCTCAGTAAATAATGCTGTGGTCCACTAGCCACACAGCAGCCAGAGCTGTTTATGCACATCGATAGGTCATGCTTCTCCTCTGCTTCCAACCTTGCAATGGTTTCTCACTGTACTTCAAATAAATGTCCACCTCTTACACTGGGCTGCAAGGCTCTGGGCGATCTGGCCACGCCCTCTCTCTGACTTCACCTCCTCCCACCTCTCAGTCTTTGCTCCAATTATTCCTCCTCCCCACTGTTCCTTCACCTCCAACCTGAAGGCCACGCACCGCACCGTTTAGTGCTGGGAATCTCTGCCCGCTGCTCTCACTGGGGCCTAGAGGCTGCCGGCTCCGTGGGATCGGCCCTGGCCTTGCCTGTCTCATCCACCGCCTGACCCCTAGTGCCAACATGGAGTGAGTGCTCTAAGAAAAACTGGTGCCAGTTAATGATGGAGTAGGCTCTGCTTTGAGCAAAGTGGGAAAAGACTTTGGACTTTGTCCTGAAGGTGGAAAGAAATGCATCAAATGTAGTTTAGCCTTTGTTCTTTTCTTCAAATCTTTATCAGGCTGAAGTACAGGGTGAGTACCCCAGAGGCACGGAGAGAAGAGCTGGTATCCCCTAGGGCAGCTCTGGCGAACCTTTTTGAGGCAAGCGCCCAAACTGTAACCCAAACCACTTGTGTATCACAAAGTGCCAACGCTGCAATGAAACCAACATTGAAGTTTTAGTTTAGAAAAAATAACTCATACCTTAACATCTTTTGTCTTAAAAGAAAAACAAATAACATGGGTGCCACTGCCCTAGGGAATGGAGCTAGGTCTGGCCCGTTGACAGTGGGACACACATGACACTGCACAGACCTAGTGTTCCTCCTGCATTTGGACTGCATTTCAGAGGCGGGCAGGTCTGGGATTTGCAAAAAACACCCCATATAGGGCCGGGGATTTAGCTCAGTGGTTGCACCACCTGTCTCACAAGCACAAGGTCCCGAGTTCGATCCCCAGTACCAAAAAAAGAGCCCCATGTAAAGGCAGGGACCCTAACAGCGAGAGCCATCAGTGGCAGTGAGGAGGCAATGGCTTTAAGTGCCGTTTCCAGCCTTGGAGAAGGAACATGGGAGGAGGCACCCAAGGTCCTGAAGTTTTGTTGGTGGAGACTCTTTTTTTTTTTTTTAAAAAATTTGATTTTATTGGTACATTTTAGGTATACAATATAATGACATTCATCATTGGAAATCTGCACCTTTACATAGTCGCTCTTGGTTCTTATTTTTCCCCCTTCCCCTGCCCTCCCTTCAACCCCTCCATCCCTCCCTATTTACAAAGACTTTGTTTCCATTTTTTCATTTTCTCATATTAATTCCATTCCCGTCTTTCCTTTCCCCTACACCTCCCACTTCCCCTTCCCCTTTGGACCTTTTCTTCCTATTTCACATTACCTATTATACCTTTTAGTCCTTATTTACACTTTCAGTTTCTCACACTAGAGAAATTATTCAGTATTTACACGTGTGTCCTATTTATTTCACTTAAGAGTATTGCCTCAGGGCTGGGGATTTAGCTCAGTGGTTTCGCCGCCTGCTAGGAAAGCTCAAGGATCCGAGTTCAATCTCCGGTACAAAAAAAAAAAAAAAAAAAAAAGAGTATCACCTCTTTATGGCTGAGTAGTACTCCATTTTATACAAAAAAACCACTTCTTTATCCAGTCTCCAGTTGATGCGCATGTCGGCTATTTCCAAGTTTTAGCTCTTAAAAACTATGCTGCTATGAACATGGGTGCACATATATCACTGTGGTATGGTTCTTTTAATTCTTTGGGGAAGATACCCAGCAGGGGAATAGCTGGGTCAAATGGGACTTCCAGTCCTAGTTCTTTGAGATATCTCCATACTGATTTCCACAGTGGTTGGTGGGGACTCTTGAGTAATCAAAACCTGGCCATTAATACTGACGTGACCTTGTTTGTACCCACTGATGAGGGAGCCATGGGAACCTTTCAGGTAGACTTGTCTTGGTTGTGCTTTAGTACAGGGGCTTTGCCTGGCCAATCACATCACAAGCTGTCCAAGGGTAGTGATTCTTTGTGAACTCGAAAATGGCTGGATCCTTTGAGGCTAGCAAGAGGCCAATAAATGGTCGATGCTATCCAAGATACAGGTCAAATGTGGGTTTGGCGAAATGAGGAAATCTATTCCTCGGGCCTTTGAGTCTTACAGACACCAAGCATAGCAGATTCTGTGTTGTGGACTTGGGTCACCTGGGAAATAAGAGAATCTGGACCATCAGCCATGCCATTGTTAACTAAAGGCTTCCCCACTGTGGTCCTTAAGGCTGAGTTTGTGAAATCAGCTGTAAATCCTGGAGTGTCACAGCCTGCAGGTGGCAGAAACACCCGTGTTCGTCAGCACTTCGGATTGTGGCTAAGTTGAAGTCAGTTTTTGTCAAGGAAACCATCTTTGCTTGGATCACAACATTCAGCTTGGTCCTGCCTCTGAGGTTCTGAGGGCTGGATTTGCATATTGCCAATTGTTGCTGGACATTGTGAAAAGAGAAGAGGAAGGGGAAACACAGTAAATCAGCGACCCCAAGGAAAGCAAGCAGCTGGAGCCCGTCCAGCAAGGCGCAACCCTAAGAGCTCTAATTTCCATCCAGGCGGCCTGGCGCAGTCCCCTCGCGTCTCTGGCCTGTCTTCATCCGAAAAGCCAAGGGGTTGGACTGGATTATTTATGGCCCCTGGGGGTCTGACATCTGACAGTTTTATCAATCCTCAGCTCAGACGTCCCCGATCTCGGGTTAGAAGGAAAATTCATCTCCCTTGCAGATGAAGCACTTATTGATTTTCATCCCCCTGCGGCAAAGGGGAATGTGACAGCTAATTCTTTCTCAGCAGACAGGAAGAGAAAAAAACAAAGTCAGCCTCCCATTCAGTGCTTTCAGGTTCACAGTGAATGCTAAATCAACGTTGGCTTCCAGGGCGTGACTCAGTAGTTTGGAACTGAAGGCCCCAGACGGACTATACAGACCTTTTCACGTCGAAGAAAGACTCCCCTCTCCCACGGGAAGCGACAGGCATCAGAAGCGATGCCAGGCTCCGTAGAGATCCAGGATGAGCCCAATCTGACGGCTCTTCGCCACGGGAACCGGCCAGGGATGGTTATTAGGGGCTGCACGGGCTCTCGTAGTGCTCCCGAGGTGTACAAGATTAGGTAATGCCGTTCGCGTTTTGTCTCTTTGATGGGAGTTCACGTTAACCACAATTAAACCACCAGCCCGGCTTCTCCAGCAGAGGGTGGCTTTCGCCACGAGGCGCCTCTCCACCCTTTGTACGGAAACGCGGGCGATGATTGGTGGTTTCGGGAAGCTGTGGGGCTGACGACCAATGGGGAGCGAGGGAAGGCGTGGCTCCAGTGGCGGGGCGGGGCCAGGCCGCACGGTCGCCGTGGTTACCGCGCTCGGCTCCGGCGGATCTATGTACACAGGGCCGCCCCGCCCCACGCCTCGGCCCCACCCGGGCTCCGCCGGGATCCGCCCTGGGCGGTTCCGCTGGGTCCCGCGCTCGCCCCACGCGCGTTAGCATTAGGGCGAGTTCTCCCGGGCCGCAGGGCTGACGCAGGCCCGGGTTGGCCCTCGGTGGGACGGCCGCCCTGAGCGAGGAGCCGACTGCGGCCTCCGCGACCCCTCCCGCAGCTCCGCCCACCTCCCCACCCTACGGGTCCCCGGGGGAGAGCGGAGCAGCTGGCCAATGAGGGTGCGGGCAGTTCGAAAGGCCGAGGTGCTGCGCCTCTCCCAGGACCTTATGCTCCGCACGAAACCTGGCAGCCTACGCTTAATGCGATTTCCCGGCTGTCTTCCGACAGCCAAGAGCATGCAAAGCGGGTAACAAACCTTACCCCTTTCGTGATAGCTAGAGGTTAGACTGCGTAATTGAACAAAATCCTCCTCGCCTCGCCCCGGCCTCCGGGGTAAGAGCGAGGGCTGCCATCAGCGAGCCAGTCTGTATCCTGTGCTTTGCAGCTTGTCTTTTCCCTTGTAGCTGTCAACATGCAGACCAGCTCTGAACGGCACCAAGTAGGATCAGAGAAGGCCCAGGCAGTGTGAAGGGACAGGAAATACACCTGAGGAGTCGCTTTCAGAGAAGTGCCTGAGCCTTTCGGTACATGGATCCTCTTCCCATTTGCGCCTTTGGAAAAAATACGCATTCGCCATTGCTCCGTGCCCGCGGCCTGGAGGTTCCTGGTTTCACCCTCAAGTACTAAACATACAAACTGGGCCGTATACTGGAGGCATGGAGCGCAGCTCTAATGAAACCAGTCTGTCGATGGCCGATGTTGCTCAAACATCCAGCTTAGTCCTGCCCACCCACCTCCTGGTAGCCGTGGAGACTTCTCCTCCACCTTGTAGTCCCCCATTGTCCATTCGTCTGTTCCCTGCTTTGCTCTCAGTAAATACTTAAACAGAGGCCTTTCAGCGGGAGGGTTAGCCGGGGCGCTGGGGTCTGCAGGTCCCACAGGACCTGCCTGTCCAGCAAACCCAGTGGGTCTGGCCTTCGTGCGCTACTTGATTTGTGGAGCAGCCTGGAGAAGTCGGAGGAAAATGAAATTTATTTGTAGTCAGTGTGTTAGCTTTCAATTGCTGTGACAAAGCATCTAAGAAAATCAACTTACAAGAGGACAGGTTTAGTTTGGCTCCTGATTTCAGAGGTTCCAGTGTGTTACGGCTTAGAAGTGTGCACCGTGACTCTCCTGTATTTGGAAGGTCGGGTTGGTGTTATGCTTGTCCGTGGATTCATCCATTTGAGGAGTTCAGCAACTGAATGTGCTGTCAGGAGGTGGGGCCTGGGCCCAGGTGGCCAAGAGGGGCGTGACCTGGAAGGGCGTGTTCTTGTGCACAGCTCTCCCTTCTCTGCCTCCTGCTGCTGTGGGGTGAGCACCTTTCCTCTGCCAGGGCCTTCGACGGCGCTGTTTGTTTTGGAGCCTACCGACCATGGCCGGAAACTGTAGGGCGAAATAAACCTTTGCTTCTATAAATTGTGGGTGTGTGGCGTTGTGTATCAGTGACAGGAAAGTAACCAAGACAGTTCAGGGTTGGCTGGCTCTGTTTGAGGGGCAGCGCATCACGGCGGGGAACGTGGAGGAACAAAGCTGTTCCCCTCCCTGCGACCGGGAAACAACTGGGGGCAGCGTCCCAGTATTCCCTTCCGGGTCACACCTGACTTCCGGGGTTTAACTTCCTGCCATTTGGCCCCACTTTCTGAAGGTTCCGCGACCCACCCAGCTTGGCGACCAAACCTTCAACGTAGGAGCCTTTGAGCCTTTGAGGGAGAGAGGATTCAAGTCCTGCCAGTCAGCAAACAGGAATAAAGGGGAAGCAGGAAAGACGAGAGGTGCTGGCGCAGGTCGGCGTTCACAGCAGCTGAGGCCTGTTTGGCCAAGCTCCATAATAACCCAGAGAAGACACCCAAATAATCTGGAGAGCTGTGTTTTTCTCTGTCAGTTTAGGACTGACCGCTTGGCCAAGGAAACAGGTGGAGGAAGCAGGCCAGGGAAGGCTCTGCCAGCCCGACGAAGCAGATAGGGCCGAGTCTGAAACCCAGGCCGAGCTGAAGTTGCAGTTAGTGTGGAAATGAAGATCTTTCAGAAGAGAGGACGTTCCCAGAGCTTGTTCTCTGTTGTCTCGCCGTCTCTTGGCTCCACCCAGACAGCCCCTTGGCTCGCAGACTGTGGCTCCCCAGCGGGACGGCGGGCAGCCTCCCTAACCTTCTCCTGTAAGGCAGAGAGAAGAGGACGACATGCTCCCCTCGGAACCCACACGCCGCAGCAGAGTTTGCTGCAGACCCCCAAAGCCAAATCGCGGGGAGTCCTCGATGGCATTTCCGGGAGCTGCCACCACCTACCTAAAAAGCTGGTCTCTCTGCAAAGGCTGGAGAGCCGGAGCTAAAGTCAGAGGACTCAAGCTTGTCTACCTGTTGGGGTCATAAAGAAGGTAAGGTGTCCTCTCTCTCTCTAAACTTTTCCTTCTCTTTGTTTTTATTAGCGTATATTTGCCATGCACAGTAAATATGTTCACCTTGGGGAAGCGATTCAGACATATTGCCTCTCACTCCTTAGTACTTCCCTGCCCTCCTTGGTGAGGTCCTGAGAGCTGTGATGCAGTCTTTTTCATGCCGAGGCATCTTTTGAAAATGCACTGGTACTCACTTGAGCACTTATCAGAAGTAGCCCTGGAGGGGGTTCCCTGCTGGTGGTCAGTGTTAATGTCATGCCAGTCCATGGACAGGAACTGGAGGCTCGGGGAGGCTGAGTACCTTGCCCGAGTACCCAGCTCCCAGCGGGATGAGGGATTCCGCCCCTGCAGCCCACTCTCACAGGCAGGAAGAGCCCCCAGCTTCCTGCTGGTCAGAGGTCTCTACAGAGCTGAGTTGGGAAGGCCAGAGCCCTGTCACAAGGCAGAGAGTTGGGTCCAATCAGTGATGTGTCCCATGGGGCCCAGCACCCAGCTGGAGGTGGCTGCCCAGTGTGCACTGGGCCTGTGTAGGTTGGCATACACCAAGGCCACCGTGATGCAGCACGGTTAAGAGGGGTGCCAGGCAGCCTCGGTGTGAGCCCCACGACGGAACGGCCACGGGGTGCTATGTGTGTCTAGTACCTACCTGGCTGTGTCCTTTCGAGGGGGTGAAGTGCCTCACTCCAGGTTGTGCTGCTGGTAAGATCAGAGGTGGATTGGGCTTCCTGGGACAGGACGGGAGCAGGAGGAGTCAGGAAAGTTGGGGCGGGGGAGGGTCTGTCAGGAGAGGAGCGGGCCGGCGCTGAATGAGGTGGGTGGAAGGCCAGGGACAGACAAGGCCCATCCTTGCAGCCAGCAGCAGAGACGCTGGCAGTCCTCTCAGCTGGCCTTCTCACCGCTTTCTTCATCTCCATCTCCATCTCCGGGATCACTGTGCCCGCTGACTGCTCCTCAGGTTTCTGCCCCTGGCCCCCTTCCGTCTATGCTCAGCATGGCAGCCAAAACTCAGTGCAAAGCCTGAGTTTGGTGCCTTTCTTCCAAGCCCTGCAGGAGTTCTGCGTGAACTGCCTCCTGTTCAGCCACCACACTTCCCTGCCCTCGTCTCCTACCAGCCTGCATCCTTCACCTGCTTTTGCTTCAAGGCCTTTGCACATGCTCTTCTCTGTGTTTAGAATGCTACCCCACCCCCATACACCCCATGGATGTTTTCCCACTTCCTTACCATCTTTGCTCAAAAGTATCTTTAGCCAGGCTTTCCCTGGCTTCCTTCTGGGAACTTTCCACAACTCCTGGCATTTCATATCTCCCTCCTCTGTTTTCACTTTCTTGCTGGCACAATCTCTAACTTTATATGTAATTATTTATTTGAGTTCTGTCTCCCCAGCAAGAATGCAAGTTCCACGAAGGGGGGGATTTTTGCTGGTGTTGTGGGTTGGTTGGCTTTTTTCATTTCCTTCTGTATTCTCAGAGCCTGGCACACAGCATGAACATAATAAACACTTGCTGCACACGGACAAATGGATGAAGCCCTGCCATTCGCCTCACGTCGTGGGAGGGGGCCAGCATCTTCTGGTAGGACAGGAAGGCATGGGAGCAGGAAGGCTGTTGAAGGAGAGCAAAGATCCATGGAAGGTGCTGGGTGAGGGTGCCCTGCCCGTCTCCTGGTCTCCCGCTGTCGCTCCTCCATTCCTACTGGCAGCTCCCACAGGATGCCCCCTGTAGGCGCAGGAACAAACTGCAATGTATCAGCATGGGAAGCACAACTCCCACTGTTGGGACTGGTAGGAAATGGCCTTGTCTCAAGTAACCAGAAGCCAAGAGAAAGCACAGGCAGGGCTTTGCAGAGCTGGAAGGGCAGGAGGGGGACAGGAAGGAGCCCTGGCCAGGCCAGCATGGCCACGTAGAAAATGGAATCAATTCCCAGAATGCCAACCCAGAACCAGAATCCCCAGGACTTCCCCAGCAGTTTATGAAGTCAGGGATTCTCATCCCCAAAAAGTGGCTGTCTGGGAGCTGAAGTGAGACAGACCTGGGTGAGTTCCTAGTCCACCTTTGTTGTCTGTGAACATGGAGAATGAGGGTTCTTGCAAGGATCAAAGCAATGATGCTCTTGAAGAGCTCGGTGTGCAGGTGCTTGGGGAACCCCAGTTGAAATTTGTTTTCACACTCAGAAGCTGGAATGGTGTTTGGCAGAGCCACTGAGAAAGTAAGAAGGACAGGAGTGGGGGAACCCCAGGTCCATCTCCACCTGGTTATGTGAGCACAAGGTCACCCCACCTCTCACAACCACTGTCTCCTTGGAGTAAAAGGGCTTGGACTTGATGCACCCTAACAGTGCTCTTCACCTCCAGGGCCTTGCGATTTGTGACCCTGAACAGATCATTTTTCACTGGGCTCTGTTAGAGGAGGGAAATATGAGACAAGGACTTAACCGGATGTCACAAAGCGGGTTCTCGGAGGTTTTCTTCACAGACTTGGAAGATGTCCCTGTGCCCTCTGTCTTAATTGCTTTCTCGTTGCTGAGACACAATATCTGATGCCTGAAAATTAAATGCAGAAGTTTATTCTGGCCCTCAGTTGGTAGAGATTTTAGTCCATAGTCCACTGGCCCCAAGGCAGAGGGGTGTGGCAGAGGAGGAACAGTCCATGGCATCGTAGCAGGAAGCAGAGAGAGATCAAGGGAGGAGGAGGGAGGCAGACTTCCAAGCCACACCTCCAGTGACCCACACCTCCAACCAGGCTTCATCTTCCAACATCACATTTGTCTATAAACTCACCAGTGCACCAATCCACGGATGAGTGTCAGAACCCCATTATCCAGTCACTTCTCAAAAGCCCCACCTATGAGCACATGAGGCTTTGAGGGGGCATCTAGTTATAAACCATAACACCCTTAAGTCTCTGCTAATATCCTGTCGTTGTCACCCCACATGTAAGACCTATGAAATGCAGGGACAGCCTCACACCATGGCAAACTAGTCAGTGACTCCTAAGCCTGGCTGTTATGATTTGGATCTTAAATGTCCCCTGAAGGCTCCAGTGTTGGAAGTTTGGGCCCAGCTTATGGAGCTACTGGGAGGTGGTAGAACCCATAGGAGGTGGGACCTAGTGGAAGGATGCCACTGAAATGTGATCATGAAGGGACATTGGGGCCCCACCCCTCCCCTCACTGCTTCCCAGCCACCATGAGGTGAGCAGCTGTACCCCACCACGTGCCACTCACCATGATGCTCTGCCTCACTCCAGCCCTAAAACAACAGGGCCAAGTGACCATGGACTGAAACCTCTGAAACCATGACCCACACTGAACCTTTCCTCCTTTTAAGGTGATTGTTTCAGGGATTTTGTCACAGTGATGGAAAGCTGACTAACACAGGTTGTGCTCAGGTCCCTGGATGCTGAAAGTACAGACTCTCAGACCTACCTCTTGCTGTTGATTTAGAATCTCTGCAGGTGAGCTCAGGAGGCAGGGTTTTTATCAGTCATCCCAGGAAATACTGACAGCTATATGAGGACACGTATTTGGGACAGACGGGAGAAGGTCATTGCTTACTGTGTAGGTTGGTGGTGACAGGAAGTATGCGCTCCTGAATGTCTTAGTGGCATGTTGGAAATCACCTCTGTAGGGGCATCTGCAACTGGAAGTGTCCTCAGCTCATACCTGTCTGGGTCAGGCTCGGAGAATTTACTTCTAGGCACTTCCCTGGTCCCAGCCAGAGGAGCAGCAGTGTGGACAACTGACACCCTGTAGGTCAAGAGGAAGAGAAGAAAGGCAAGGAGGGGCTGCATCATCTGCTTGAGCGCCAGAGTTAGGCGCTTAATCAGCAGGCATTCATTGTTTCCATTTCTGGAAGCTGGAAGTCCAGGGTCCTGGTGTCAGCAGGCTTGGTCTTTCTGAAACCTCCCCTTGGCTTGCGGATGGGCCCTGCCCTGGGGGAGCCGGTGCTGTGTCCAACCATGAGCCACGCTCCAGTCCCCTTCTGTGAGCACCAGGAGCCTGGGAAGGAAGGAAGGAAGGAAGGTTCTGGCTGACTGTGGAGAAACCAGAGCCCGGAAGTGAGTGGTGGTGGCCACACACACCAAGGGCCAGCACCATGTTCCCGGCAGGGGGCCGTTCAGAGCCAGGGGCTGTGGTGGTCAGTGACCCCCTTGGCCCTCTGCTGCTGTACTCTGACTTGGGACATCCTAAGGGAGCCTCCATGGACTGTGGGGCCAGCAAGGCAGTGCTTCTGGTGACATAGGGCCCGCCAGGTACCAGGGATCACATCCCCTGGGGGACCCTCACCATGCCGCCTGCCCCCAGCCCCCAAGCCCCCCAGCCCCGGGGTCGCCACTTTCACACCCTCAGTTAGCAGCCACCTCGGGGAAAGAAAGGCCCAGGGGCTCTGAGAGCAACATGAAAGTTTGCGCCTCTCCTTCAGTTTTTAAACTCTTCCTCTCTGGCCAGGCCAAGGCCAGAACCGCCTGCTTGTTTATTTTTAAGTGTTTGTGCTGATGAAGCAATGATGATATTTCCTCTTCCTCTCCCCTCTCTTCCTGTCCCTCTGTCTGTCTGTCTCTGTCTTTCTTGTAGCTCTGGGAGTTAAACTCAGGTCCTTTGTGCTGACCTAAATCTCCAGACTTCCTTTAGAAACCTTTTTTCTTTTTAAGTTTTGAGAAAAAGTCTTAGTAAGTTGTTAAGTTGCTCAGGTTGTTCTTGAATTTTGGATCCTTGTGCTTCAGCCTCCCAGAATGCTGGGATTGCATGCATGTCCCACCGTGCCCAGCTTCTTACTTCTAACCCAGCTCATAGAGATGACTTTAGATCCTCGATGTCACTGTCACTGAAAAAACAATGCCCCAGCTCACAGGAAGTGAATCTCTGGTGTCCAGAGCACCTGCCAAGAGGAGAGGAAAGCTGACAGGGTTGGGGGTCAGGAGCCCCCTGGCAGCTTCAGACCTGTGATTTCTGGAGAAGGCCGGTCTGGGTCCGCAGGCTCATCTGTCCCTTCCTTTCCCCAGGTGGCACTTGGCCTGCAGTGCCTCAGCCCATCAGTCCCCTGACGCCACACAGGTGTCAGACAGGCCAGAGAAGCAAGGCAGTGTCGGGGCCCAGGGCCGCCTGGGGTGAGGGCAGCATGTCGGGGGGCTGCGCCCCAGCAGGCTCGCACAGGCTGGGAAGGCCGCCAGCAGACGGCTTTGTTTTTCGGCGCCACTTTGCTGTGAGCCTTCTCTTTCCTGAGACGACGCCAGCTGATGGCGGGGGGAGAGAGACGGAGCTGAATGGGACAGGCCTTGGCCTCCGCCGCTGGCCTCCTGCATCCGCCCTTCAGATCTCGCAGCCAGGGAAGCAGATGTCCTGCTGGAGACTCGGCGTCTGAGGCCCACCCCAGCCCGCCTGCCTCCTCCCAGAGGAAGCCTAGAGCAGGGCCTGCCAGCTGTTGGGCTCCCTGGGCTCTGGCCCTGGTGGACTCTGTGTGCCAGGCGCCAGGTGCCAGGTAGGGGTGCTGGCCTTGCAGCTTGTGGCGGAGGGGCTGGGTGTGCGGGGACGGGAGGAGAGGGTGCCCGGCTGTCAGGACAAAGGGCAGAAAGAGGCCACTTCAGGTTCAGGTCTGGGGGTCCAGAAGGTCTCCACCCTCCACCAGCAGAGCTACAAACTAGATGGACTAGCAGGTAGAGCAGGAGGGACACTCGAGCTAAGCCTGTGATCCCACGTAATTTGTTTTGCATTTGGAGAAGGTCTCCAGCTGTGGCTTTTTCCAGGCCCGTGAGACTTTCCCAGGGCGGGGCGCTGGAGAGGGGCATGTGGGTGCCAGGAGGCCCCAGGCTGGCCCGGGCTCTGGGAAGCAAGTGGCCATGGCCTCCCCAGGCTGCTGGCCTCAGCTGGGGCGGCCACCGCCCATCAGACACAGAGACAGGGACAGCAGCTGCTGCTGCAAGGTCGCCATGGTGACTGTGACCGGCTGCTCCGGCTTTGCCCGCCCGGCTGGCAGCCCCTCCCCAGGGTGGAGGGCTGAGGTCAGACCCGTGGCCGCCTGGGCTCCGGAGCCTCAGATCTTCTCTGGCAGCCAGGTTCAAAGCTGGGCTCCGGGCAGAGGCAAGAGAGCAGAAAAGGGCCCGGAAGGGAGGAGAAAGCTGGGCTTTACAAACACGAGCCATTGTTCTCACACAAAATCGAACTCATTACTTGGGAGATGAAAAGAATTAGGTTTGAGAGAGAACCTCACCTAGTCAAAATCACCTCATTACCCCTGAGTGCCGCGGACCAGTGATTTGCTAGTTTCCCTGATCTTCCAGGTGTTTGGCTGAAATCTCTTATAAGATCATTTACATCATTTTGGCTAAGGTGAAGAATGACTAATAAACTCCTTTCTGAAAACTCTTCTGCTGTTTTTCAGACCAATCAAGTCTTCTTGCAGCTAGACAACTCTGATTACTTTAAACAGTGGCTTTTCATGACTGAATATCTTTTTTTTCCTGTAGAATGACACTGACACATCTGTTCAGTAAATTATCAACAGATTTATTTGACTGTTCCGAAGTCCACTCACCAAGAAAGCTGAGGAAAAGGAAGCAAAGAATTAGAGGGAAAAGTAGGAGTCACCTTACCGTGTCTCAGAAAGACGATCAGTATTTTTTTAAAGTGTTACTTGTAATATCTTTTGAAGGCTTATTCCCAGGTCTTTAAACATCTCTCCTGCTCTTCCCTGAGTCCCTTCTGGTTTTCAGCATCCTGTAAAGGGTGTGAATCAAAATGATCCTTTCTCCTAATCAGGACTCCGATCACTACACTGTGAATGTGTATAGAAGAGTCGCCTTCAGGCACACGAGTCTGCTTTGTCATGGCGGTCATCAGGCACACCTGCTTTATTTAATAACTCGTTACTGCGTTCCCAGCTCATGGTTCGCTAGAATCCCTGGAGTTTTGTTTTTATTTTCCTTTTTCTATAACTGTGCCTGATTTCCAAGTCTCTTTGGGTTACTATGATCTCTGCCATTTCACTTAAAACTTTCTCCTGATGAGGCCATCCTCTTAAGTGAAATAAATAGGACACACGTGTAAATACCGAATAGTTTCTCAGGTGTGAGAAAGTGTAAATAAGGATTAAAATGATTAAAATGAATAAATGATAATTTGAAATAGGAAGAAAAGGTCCAAAGGGGTAGGAAAAGTGGGAGAGGAAGGGGAAAGGAAAGAAGGGAAAGGAAAAATTATGAGAAAAGGAAAAAATGGAAACAAAGTGTTTGTAAATAGGGAAGGGTGGAGGGGGGGAAGGGAGGGCAGGAAATGGGGAAAAAATAACCAAGATCCATCATGTACAGGTACAAGCACCCAATGATAAAAGTAAATGTATTGTATACCTAACATGTACCAATAAAAGAATCTAAGGAAAAAAAACCCCTTTCTTCCTGGAGCATAATAAACATGGTAAGTTTTTCTGAGCAGAAAATGCTAGTGTAAACCAGCTGTCGGATTAAGCAATGTCACATTATCAACAACTCAGAAGCCCCTTTTGTGTTGCTTTGCTATCTTTGTCCTACCCCATCTGGGCTAACCATTATTTTACTATGAATTAATTTTGCCTGTATTTATTTATAAAAATTCAATAATAGGGCCAGGGATTTAGTGCCTGCCTGGCAACTGCAAGGTCCTGACTTTGACTTTCGGTCCTGGTACTGAAAAAAATTTCAATAACATTATTATTATTATTTTACTATTATTAAACTGGGGCTTCAACTCAGGGCCTTTGCAATGAGTTACATTCCCAGCCCTTTTAAAAAATATTTTTTATTTTGAGACAGGGTCTCACTAAGTTGCTAAGTTACCCAGGCTGTGCTTGAAATTGCAGTCCTCCTACCTGTCTCCCAAAATGCTGCGATTATAGTTATGCTCAACTGTTATTTTGCATCTGGTTCATTCCCACTGTCATTCAATTCTATTATCCTTTATTACCCTTTCCCCTCCATTTTTTTTTTTTCTTTTGGTATTGGGGATTGAACTCAGGTCCTTGCGCTTGCGCAGCAGGCGGTGAAACCACTGAGCTAAATCCCCGGCCCTCTCCCCTCCATTTTTTAAGCAGGCTTAGAAGGATCTGAGGCCTGAGAACTGAGACATTTCAGCCCTAGCCCTAACTGTTTTGACTATGGCTAAGTAACATAGTCCGCCAGGACATACCAGGTTCGAGTTAGCCTGTTACCTGAGCCATCTACTGGTTATTCTGCTCCTCTGTTCAGAATCAGCCAGCTCTTCATTCAGGGTAATCTGAACACATAATTTGTGTGTGCATATGTTTTACTGTGGTAGCCCTTTGGAGAATGCTTTGGGCTACTGTGAGGGAAATGATTATTGGAAGTTGTAGCTGTGTTAGGGAAATCTTTAATTTCAGGTGCTCAGTTCACTGTTTAGTCTGTAGTTGTGACTTGTACTACTGTGCAGTGGGTGTGGCCGATGTCACAGGTCTGGGACAGAAGTGTGCTGATGCCAGAGCAGCGACTGGAGAAAGTGATCTTGTTTGTAATATGGTGAATGGGAATAAATGGAGGCCATATTTTTCCAGTGGCAGGTGAGAACTTGTAAGGCAATATTTACAAAAACTATGCAAATGCAAATGTTTAATTTGTGGATCTATATACAGATAGTTACTGTATGCAACACGTATAATGTGTGTAACATACTCAAATATATTTAGCAAATATGTTTACTGTATATTTATATTTAAGAAAATAGCTCTTTCTGCAATGTAACGATGATTTGTGTGTGTATGATGATGTGAATAGAATTTCAAATCCTAACTAATTATTTTTGCATCAGTTACTTTGGAATACAGGAGTTCTAAGTTTCAGGGCCCGGGGATGTAGCTCAGTGGCATTGTGCCAGCCTGGCAAGTGCAAGGTCCTGAGTTCGATCCCTGGTACCAAAAAAAGAAGAGGTTCCAAGTTTCAGAATCAACATGCATTGTTACAGCGTGCTTCATCAGCTATCCTTCCTGGACACCACCAAGGGCGAACCATCCAAAATCACGACAGAAATGTCCAGTGCATATAGAGAGAAAGCGCATGCCCACTGAGAGTGCCCACTGCCCCTGTGGCCTCCTTTCCGGCTGTGGGTGCATGGAACACAAAGTCTTCCTGGAGCTTGTGGCCTCTGGACTGCGGTAGCAGCTGCAGACTGAGCACCGGCTGTGAGGTCCATGGCCAGGTGTCGGGGGCAGAGGAGC